TATATTACAAATCTATAGTAGTAAAAGTAGCATGTTACTGGAACAAAAACAGACATGTAGATCAATGGAACAGAAGAGAGGATAAAGAAACAACCCCAGGCACATTCAACTATTTGATCTATAACAAAATGGCCCAAAACACACACTGGAGGAAAGACAGCCTCTTGAATAAATGGTGTTGGGAAAATTGGCTGTCCACATGCAGAAGACTGAATCTAGACTCATATCTCTCAACATGTATTAAAGTTAAAATGGATCAAAGAACTAAATTTTAAAACAGAAACACTTAACTGGATGGAAGACAAAATAGGTAAAACTAAGGAATCCACAGGTGTAAGCAAGGACTTTCTGAACAGAACTCCAGTTGCACAGGAAATAGTATTGAGAATCAAAAAATGAGATGATATCAAATTTAAAAGCTTCTGAAGAGCAAAAGAAACAACCAATAAAGTAAAAAGAAAACCAACAAAATGGAAAAAAATGCCAGATATTCATCAGACAGAGGACTAATATCTAGAATATATAAAGAACTCAAAAAATTAGACCCCAGAAATTAAAAGACCCAATTAAAAAGTGGGCATGTGAAATGAGGAAACAATTCTCAGAAGAAGAAATACAAATGACCAATAAATACATGATGAATGCTCAATATGACTGGCCAGCAGAAAAATGCAAATTAAATACTGAGATTCAGTCTTATTCCAGAAAGGCCATCATTAAGAAATCAAATAATATCAAATGCTTGTGAGGCTGTGGGGTAAAAGGAACTTTTTTACATTATTAGTGGGAATGTAAACTAGAAAACCACTGTGGAAATCCGTATGGAGATTTCTCAGAAACTAAAAATAGAAATTCCATTTGACCCAGCTATTCTTCCTTGAGATATCTTCACAAAAGAGTTAAAGACCTCATATTATAGGGATACATGCATATTCATGTCTATAGAGGCATAATCATAATAGCTATGTCTTGTTAGTGGCCTATATGTTGATCAACAGATGAACAGATCAAGAAAATATGGTATTTACACACAATGAAGTACTACTCTGCCATAGAGATAAACTTGAGTCATTTGTAGGAAAATGGACATATCTTTTGAGACCTTAATGTTACGTGAGATAAATCAGACACACAAGCTTGAGTATAGCATGGTTTCTCTTATATGGGAAATTCAAATTATAAATGAACAAAGTAAAAGATAATAAGAAATCAGGAGATAGATCTTTCTCAAATGGGAAGGAATCAAAAGATGGAGGTCAGGGAGGAAGGGCAGGGATGAAAAGAATTCAGATGTACATGTGCCAACTCCTTGCAAGGAATATAAACAATATGTACAGGGGCAGGGATGTGGCTCAGTGCTGCCACACCTTCCTGGCAAGCGCAAGGTCCTGAGTTTGATCCCTGGTACCATAAATACAAACAAACAAACAAAATTATGTACTAAAAAAGCAGTAAATTAGGTAAAAACCCATTATGTACTTTAAAAAAGCAGTAAATTGATAAAAACTTAAAGTTAGGCTCAGAGCGAAACTTCTTCAGACTTGTGGTATAACATGTTAGTTGTCTTTCTGATCATAAATGGTGATCAAATAACAACTGACTTGAAAACATATCATGGCTCCAAAATAGAGTGGATACCAGTGAAAAGAATTTAACTTATAAGACTTTTAAGGAAAACAATTTAAAGGTTTATTAAAATACATCAAATAATTTCTAAATAAATGAAGATATCAATTATTTCTACACCAGTCTCTAAATTTGATGTAAGTTAAATCAAAACCCCAATATGAAGAGATATCTTTGTTCATATGTTCCTTAGTATTTTAAAAAAGGGCCAACATAGCCAAAATACATGAGAAGAAGAATATGATAATCCTAGGTGTTCTCTGTTGAATGGTGGCCTACCTCTTAATCCAGGAATCTAGGAATGTGACCTTATTTTCAAAAATTACTTGGAGATATAATTAAATTAAGGAAAACCACCATAGATTATTTGGGAAGGCTTTGAACCTGATGATAAGGGCCTTTATCGGAGTAGAAAAGCAGAGAGAAGGCTGGGTAAAGATGGAGACCCGTAAGAGAGAGCTTCTTTTTTATCCAGCATTAAGTCAAGAAATGTTGGACTGGCCACAAGCTAGAATATGCAAGGAAGGATCCTTCCCTAGAGCCTTTGATTTCTTGTTTCTGGCCTAGAACTAACTGTTAGAGAATAAATTTCTGTTGTTTTTAACCACTTACTTTGTGGTAAGTTGCTGTGGCAGCAGTAAGAAACCAGTGTAACAGGTACCAATACTTACTTTCCAACTATAAAGGCTAAAGTGTTGTGGGTGGCATTGACACATGAAAAAAATGAAAGGTGGCCAAGCACAGGAGGAAAGTCCAGCAACATCTCCCAAGGAGATGGCACAGATCAGCTGGGAGGGACTGACTATCCAATAGTAGTGCTAATAAAACTGCTTATATAGGGGAAAATGAAGTTGAATCTCTAAATCAAAAACACATTGAAATATCAACTCTATATAAGATAAGTCTTATGCAAAACTCCTACCAGCAAAAAACAAAACCAGGAATTTTCTGAAGGATCAGAAATGATTTATTATAGAAATATAAAGGACACTGATAAGGAAAGAATGATACTTCAACTGCTTTAAAATTCAGAACCTCTGTTCACTCGAATTTATTATAAAATGAAAAAAGAAAGTGACAAATGGAAAATAGACCAATTAAGTACATAAAATGGATAGAAGATTCATTTCCAGGAAAATGTGTTTCTAATAAAATGAAAAGAAAAGAGACAAAGATGCAATAAGTAATGGCCCCAAATCATAAGTAAGAATTTATAGAAGATGAAATACAAATGATTACCCATTGATGAACACTTAATAGTCAGTGAAATGCAAATCAAATCCATGAGATCCTGTAATGCATACTCCTTGCATGGCAACACAGAAAAGTCAAATTGATACACTTTTTAGGAGGACGTAGATAATCATGAGCTCTCTTGTGCTCTTCTAGTAGTTTGCAAATGTTTATATACACTTTTGAAATAGCTGTTCAAAATCTGCTTGAGTCTGAGCTGGGCTGGTGCCTCAGTGAACCCCTGCTGGTTTTATCACCTGGGGAGGCTCCAGCACATGAGTTAGGAAACAGGTAAGGATGTTCCTTAGCTATGAAAAATGCAGACAGATGTTTGCCAACCATGAAATGAGTTAAGAAAGTAGTGTATCTCTACTACAGTAGTCTACACAGAGGTGAAATAACTGAACTCTAGTTTTAAAAATGGAAAAATCTTGAAACCATGAGGGTGAGTGAATAGATGAAATTGTAGGAACAGAGATTATAGGCAGGAAAAAGGATAAAATAGGACCTCATTAAACTTTATTATAGAAATCAATAAGAAATCCTACTAAAGGCAGTTTTTGCCTCTGCAGTTAGACTTCAGCAATTAGAAAGACAAAGGTAAAGAAAGAGAGAAACCAGACCGGGGGAAGGAGCCAGGTTACATAATTCATTTTCTTATGAATTTAGTAGCAAGAGTGGACAGGCAAAACAGGAAAGTCGCCAGGCACATGAAAGACTGTGGTAACCAGCCCCCACTCTCACTGGATAAAATACAAAGGAGACAAGGGGCAGTCACCTAAGGACTCTTAGTTAATATATAAAAGACACACATACTTCGACACATATACTTATATTCTCATTTTAACATCACTATACCCTGCACCAGATACACATGTCCCCTTTAGTTAATTTCTAACTCTAAGCTGCACTTCTATGAGGCTCCCCCTTCCCACACTTATCCATCACAAAAAGGCAGAAAGGAATCAAATGGCCAGTAAAACTGGAGACAGAGGGCCAAGGATTTAGCTCAGTGGTTTCACTGCCTGCTGCGCAAGCGCAAGGACCCAAGTTCAATCCTTGGTATCCAAAAAAAAAAAAAAAAGGTGGAGACAGAGGTGTCCTGGTTAGGATCAAAGACAGTCAGAGAGCAATCAGATGGCGACCACTTCAAGGTGTCCCTATGAGGGATGGGAGGAATCAGTAGTCCTAAATAAAAGCTGCTCTGGACTAAGGCTTGTAGGTATTCACCTTTCCAATGCCTGCTACTCTTCCAGAGTAGCTCTCTGTCTTCTCTTTTTCCTGCTCTTTTCCAAATAAACTGTCTTCCTTTTTTTTTTAAACTCTGCCTCTTTAATTCATTACTGGACTTGAGAGTTTACGATAATGGTAGCTGAGTGTTCCAGCACAGCAGTGGCATGTCATAGCGTGGTGTAACCCCTTCATCAGTCATGACAAAGTCACACAAGGATATGATATGATTCTGTTCACATAAAATTGAAAAGAAGCAAAATTATGCAGTACACTACATAGGGAAACATATAGGAAATAAATGATTAAATGAAATTCAAAATAGTTTTTAACCTCTGAAAAAGAGAGATGAAAGAACATACTTTAAATTAGGTGGTAGGTTCTTGGGTACTCATTTTATAATTAATCTTATAAATGAACAAAAGAAAAATTAAATACCAGGGAACATCATTGTGAAATTTCAAAAACTGAAAAAACTGTTGAAAATGTGGGTGATAAACTTGGTCAACTAATTGGAAACAATTTCTCATCAGCCCTATTTACTAAAGTAATAAAAATGAACATCATAAATTTCTGAAAAAAAATTATTCTCAATTTAAAGTTTCTCATCCAGACTCTCAGTTGAGTGAAACAGTAAATAAAATATTTTTCAACATGAAATAATTCAAGAAATTTATCTCCCATGAATTTTTTGTTAGGTACTTAAGGACATAACACACCGTACATATGAAGAAAAATATATGATTCATGAAGCAGTGGATCCCACACCTGGGGCACCACTGCCCTAGCCAGTTCTACCTCTGAAGTGGATCTAGAGCCCAGTAGTGGAAACTGTAATGTCTAACATACCCACATTCAAAGCACTGCAGAAAAATGTACTCAGAAACATGTGCATTTTCTATTGAGCTTACCATTCTTTCAATCTGATGACTTCTTTCTGTAAATTCTCTTGAGGATTTCATTCCATAATTTTCTTTGTATTTGATGTTTGTGACTTTAAAAGAGGCAAGGTAACAGAATGCTTTATCATCTGAAAGGTAAAATAAATGAAAGATCCATAGTTAAATGTAATCAATTATTTGTCCCCAGTCATGCAATATATATATATGCAATATATAATGCAATATATTTCCATTGAGTACAAAACTACTGTAGACACTATAAAAATATTTTGTAATTTTATTATTTCAGTCAGCCAGAAAAAATTCAGTTTCCAAAAGAATACTTAATTATTCAGGAAAATGTTCCTGAATATATTGACATTTTATAGAATTGGACATCCAATATACAATGGAAGTGAATATTGAAAGCAATTGCTGAAAGTTATGTAAACATGATCTATTTCCAAAAACCAATTACTAAACTAGGTATGTAGCACATATACACTGTAATATGTTGCTATATTGAAAAAGCTTTAAATTTTTTTCTATACTTTTACTAAGATTATTTAAATAGATGTCTATATGTATTATTTCAGCTTTCTTTTTTGCCCACTCACTTTTAATTCTCTGTAATCTACTCTTAACCTACCTCTAAAACAGCCATTGTTAAGGAACACAGTTGTAATATGCTCTGTGTACCTTTTATGGTTTTTTTGTTTTAATTCGTTTTTTTCAGACTCAATTATATGTTTAGAAACCCCAACTTTAGCTTTACGAAGATATCTAGTTTTATTCCTCCTTTTGTGAAATTTCTCATTAGCAATGAAAAGCTCTATTTCTATCCTCAATTTTTGCTTCCTAAGGCTTAAGTTCTTATCCTTCCAGTGGCCATAATATTTCCAATCCTTTACCTCTGTTTTTACTCAAAGTGCTCTACATCCTGCACTTCCATCTTTGTGAACAGTTATATCATCCATATGGTCACTCAAGGTTTAGCTTCATCCTCATTTCCAAGATCCAGCCAATTATTTAGTCTTTCAATCCTATTAATGCAACCCATTTGATAGCTCAAATCTCTTCCCATGTTCACAGAGGCTGCATCTTTAATTCAAGTCCTTATTAACTACACAGCTGATGTTTATTTAAAACAAAATGGGCCCTTCCACCACTCTCAGCACAGAGGAAGGGGCTTCCAGGCCGCCATTCCAGCACTCTCTGCTCAGAGGAAGGGGATTCAAGGCTGCTGTTCAACCTCTCCCAGCTCAGAGGAAGGGGCTTCTGGGCCACTGTTCCACTGCTCCCATCTCAGAGGAGGTGAGCCATGCAGGCACCAACAGCACCCTTCTCCCTGTCAAAATGAAAAGACACATAAACAAGTCTCAAAACCAGACTTTCAGATCACCTACAGCAACCCCAAAGGGAAATGAGATGGAACACTCTGATACTCAAACACCTGGACTCCCT